CCAGTTTCTTTATAAAACTTAATAATCCTATAGACAGTACTTTTTTCAAATTTTAGAGTTTTTATAATAGTAGGAACTGGCACACCACACTTCCAAGCACTGATAATTTGGTTCCTTTCTTCGTCTGTTAGTTCTCGTTAATTTTCATTCATAATAAATAAAAAAAGTAAGAAAAAAAAAAACTCTTTATTTTAAAAAATAGAGGACGTTTCCCTGAAAAAAATAAAAAAAAATTTGTATCACTTTATTTATGCCAATCAGTTTACACACAATACGCGAAAAAATCAATATTATTATTGATCATCTATAATTTTAAAAAATTCCCGTGACCCGTGTCAGAAGAGTGTACTATACATTTGGTATACCATATATAATGTGATGTATATTGATATTTAATTAATAATATGCTAATAACTATTCCTAACTAACTTTAATTCTAACTCTAAATAATTATTATCATGATAAATAGATATGTAATAAATAAGATTTTATTACTCAAAAAAAATTAAGTTTCTTGAATAAAAAGTAAAAACAGAAACTTAAGGAATATGATATAATGTGATAAATATTTTATTATAATTATGTATCTGAGAATCATCAAATGCATAGATATATCATTTAAATTTTCCCTTATTATTATATATTACTACATATAGTATTCTCTAAAAATAATATCTTCTGTGATTAATACCTAAATACTATTTAGTATATATATTAACCTAATCACAAATATTATTTAGATATTTTTAAACTTTATAAAAATTGATTAATACCTATAACATTATTTTGTATAATATTTCAATATTAATTTTTCCTATTACTTAAATGTTTTCTATAATTTTATATAAAGTGAGGAAAAGTATTAGTTTTTTTTAATATTTGTAAAACTAAATTAAAGAAAACTATGTATATAATGAGAAGAGAAAAGTAAATTTAATTTTTTTGATATTTATTTATTAAAATTATATAATTATAACATTTATATATAGTATCCCCTGTATATTGCATTTCTCCTTAAAATAGTATCTAGTTTCTTATTTAGTATTTGTGAATACTATTCAATTTAAAAATCACATTTTTGATTAAGACTCTATATATTATATATAATGACATATAGTATATTACTAAAATTAATATTTAATATTTTATTAAAAATTAATATTTTTTTTTAAGTTTACAGGCAAATTTACCTATTAGATAATCTAAGAGATAAGATATTATTTTATCATTTGTAACTAATTCTTTATTTTCATCTTTTTCTTAAAATAACTAATATATTTTTAATAAAAATTAAATTTGAATTATATGAAGGTTAAAAAAGAATTTATTCTAAATAATATTCTTTTAAAATTATTTTAAATAATTTATAAGATATGATTTAAAACATTATTTTCTTAAAAGTTTAATTTTGATTATTTAATATATTTATTTTTTATTGTTATTCTTTTATCATAAATTGTAATTATATTAAATATAAAATAAAACTAATTATTAGAAGATTATGAATTTAAGCTAATAATTTCTTTAGATTATTGAGATTAGGTATTACTATATCAAAAGAATTTACTAACTTATTATCATCATTAATTTATAATAGTTGCTTTTTTTTCTTTGATCTTTCTAATTGCCTAAATTCTTTTTTATATATAATATTGTTTATATAATATTACTTAAAACTTTGTCATTATTGTTAATTATATATACGATTTGTAAAAATTATTAAAGTATTACTTTATAATAGGTAAACTTTTTCATTTAAAGAATCTCAATATTATTAAGAGTAATAAATTTTATTTTGTTAATTTAATATCATTATATAGGCTGGTAATTTAGACCGTTAACATCTAACGCTAATGCGATTTTTTTTTAATAATATTACATGAAGATTAAAACTAATTTATCATATTAAGAAAAACTAATAAAATTTTTTCATAAATTTCTATATTAAGACTATTACAAAAGATTAGGAATCGAGGGTCATTATTTACTAGATCGTAGCATTGTATAAAATAATTGTAAACTGTGTAAATCCAATATAATTATTGCACAGATTTTAAAGTTTAATAAGATGAGTAATTACGTTCTATAATATGAATTCAAACTTGTATTTTTTTTTGCACATTTAGGTACGCCATGTTTATCAGAAATAAAAAATGTCTAACCCAAATTTTTTTTTTTTTACCCATTTAAATCTATTAATGAAAGAACGAAAAATCCTAACTAATCCCTCACAGGAAACACGACCAAATAATAATAATAAATTCGTCATTAATGTTATATTCAATTGTGCGTGCGTATTGTGAAGGTATATGTTGAAATTGACTCTTAAAAAATGGCGATTTTTAATTTAGCGTGGGAAAAAAATAGTATTCCGCCTCAACGGGAAGTTCATAAAGAGAGAAATAAGAACTAAAGGATCTATGAAAGCAAATTCAACTGTTTGCTCAGTGATTTTATTTGATCATTATTGATATCATCGACCTAGAGGTGGTGAGACGATAGGAACGGGTTTGTAACGTTCACTAAACTCAATTTTCCTAGAGATTATAAATCGAGGATTTTAAGTACAATTTTTTTTTTTTTTTTTTTGATAAAATAAACATTTAATCATTTTCAATACTTACGCATACCACGCGCCTTTATAATTTGAATTATTGATTAAAGGGAATAATTAGTAAGATAATATTTAAATGATTGGAAAAGAAAAAAAAAAAGTATTGATAAAAAGAGAACCAACCTCCAAGCAAAGTCAAAAAGATTCCGAGACCGTTGGTTGGCGTTATAGTTAAATTAAATATCACAACCGCCAAAATAATTGACAAGACCTGTTTAACATTACCAGCCACGGTCATTGTCAAAGCTGATGTTTTTTTGTTGGCCGTGAAACTCACAACATTCAAAAAAAAGGCAATGACGCCATTTGTAACAAGGGCGAAAACTAAAGAAGTTGTCATTTCGGTACGACTAAATGCACGTACTCTATGCAATTCGCCGGTTACGTAAGCATAAATTACGGTTTGAACAAAAGCTAAAGGAGACATACGTAACAATAGATCTAAGGGATGGAGCTTAAGACGACCAACTTGAACACGATTTGTAACGACGGTTTTTAGAGCAGCTAATACTGTGCCAAGAACCGTTAAGAAAAAACCTACAAATGTGGAAAAAATAAAATTAACATGGGAGTATAGGGAAATAAAGTAAAATCTTTTTAGATCAATTCACACTTACCCATTTTTGTAAAATAATAATCACCCACCGTTGCAAACGCAACTCCCAAAACAACCTATAAACAAAACATTAAATTTTTTTAATTTTTTTTTTTTTTTTTAAAAAAAAAAAACTTTTAATTCCTCACCGGAAGCAATGAAATATATGTCTTGGTTGAGAAGTTCTTTTTTAGAAAGAGAATAGAGAGAATGATTGTAAAGATCGGTGTCATTGCGCGGACTACTTGATGAAACTAAAAAAAAAAAAAAATCGGGTCAATAATAATGAGATTTAAAAATTGTTCAAGGAAATAAAGATAATTTCCCCTTCCCCAAAATTAGCTAATCCCATAACTTACCGGCACAGTAACCAAATGTCTTTTAAATCATTCATTCATAAGAAACGGTGTCATAAGGAAAAAAAAAAAGAGGAACAATTGAGTATAAGTAGTTTGTTCATTGACAAATTAATCAATCAATCAACAAAATCGGATCGAACACTCCCGTATAATGTCAATTAAAACTACCTTACTAACAGCATCTCTAGTATTAACTATAACTTCTAATTTCGAAACCCACTAATACTCCAAGCGCTAACAATATCCAAGATCATAAAGTAAAAAAAGAAAAAAAAAAAGGTAAAATAAAATTACTTACAATGATACATTACTGATAGCAATATTTATAGTATATAAGACTGAAAACAACAGCATCACCATACTTTCACGCTCATTTAAACGGGCAGGTGTGAATATTCCCATCCAATAGAACAAATAGGATCCAATCGCACCACATAAAGCGTGCACTCCAGTTAATGTCCAAGGAAATGGGAAATCGTATAACTGCATGACAGCCTTGTTATATAATGTCAGGGCGAGATTAAGGAAAAAATAAAGGGAAAGCCACACATAAGATGTGTCTAATACATTTAGGTCCGCCATTTGGATCGGAATTGTCGAACGACTAAATTGACTACTCATCGGATTTTAAAGAGTCAACGATGCAAGGTCAGACCAGATGTGCCTGAGAATAGTTGGGTTAAAATAGGCTTGCTCGGCGGCACTATTGTAAATAGAATAAAAATACTTCACTCTTCCAGAGAGATTTTTTTTGTTTCGATATAAATAAAACCAATTGGATAACACATTCAAATAGCTTTATGACAATAAAACCAATCATTATTTGGCATGTCTATTATTAGATTACCAACCATATTATATGGTCTTACGAAATTACAAAACTATGATATAAGTGATAACATACGTCATACCAAAAAAAAAAAAATCAAATTTTATTTTAAATAATTTTTTTTTGTTGCAACAATGCACTTTTTTAAAACGATCATGAAAAAAAAAACAAAAATCGATGTAACAAAATAATAATTGTATTACATAAATATAATTCGATCGATTCACTATAGATACGTGTATAAATAATTAGCAAGAAATGAAATCATTTCATTCATCTCATTGTAACCTAAGTTTTCGTGAAAGAATTTTTTTTAGCTTAATCCAATAGAATATGTAAAATACATCGCATCATTTAATAAAATAAAATTTACCAATTCTTCGGCGGCTGTAGGATGTATCGCGACTGTATTATCGAAATCTTGTTTTGTAGCACCCATTTTTAAGGCGACCGAGAATCCTTGTAACTGTTAAAATACGTATCACAGAAATTTATATAAATCAACATGACATGTAAATCAACATGTTCCATTACAATATGTGCAAATGGTACGTACTATTTCGGCAGAGTCTCTTCCGATAAGATGAATACCGACAACCTTTTCATTTTCACCGTGGACAATAAGTTTATAAGCCGTTGCTGGTTCTATTATATAAACAGAAATAATTAATTTTAAATGTTTCGTATCGCATAAAGAAACAATCTCCAACTTACTTTGCTCCGTCATCGCGCTATACATATTCACAAACTTGGAAGAATAGGCCTTAACATTTTCATCACCATATTTTTTTCGAGCCTCCGGTTCAGTAAGACCCACCGCACCACAAGTTCCATGAAACACGACGGTAGGGATATCATTATAATCAAGTTTAAGATTCTTAAACTTTGAAGGACCAAAAAGCCTATCCGACAATCGACGTCCGGCTGCGATTGCGACTATGGATTCACAAATTCATAATTGTTTAATCCGATCGCAATATATTCAATTATTTAAAAAAAAAAACAAAAGCTTACCAGGCGTTAACTGTGCAATTCCGCAAACGTCGCCCAAAGCATAAATTTCTTCGACAGCCGTGTTTTGGTATTCATCAGCCACAATGTACCCTTTTTCATTTAACTTCACCCCAACTTTGTCCAGGTTTAAATCATCAACATTTGGTTCTCTTCCGATTGCCCATAAAAGGGTATCAAATTCTTCGGATGTATCGTTGGTTTCTTTGGATGTGAATTCTACTTTAATGGGCCCACTTGGTGAAGCGCGTGAAAGACTTTTAACATGAGCACGAGTTAAAACTCGCATTCCCTCCTTTTTTGATTGATCAAGAATTGTATCCTTGATAATTGGATCAAAAGTACGTAAAATCTCATCCGAACGAGAGACCAACGTAGCATTACTGCCTACATATAAAGTTAATCAAAATCAAGGAAATATGCGAAAACTGATAACTTGCAAATGATCTTATTTACTCACCTAAGGCATTAAAGATACCAGCCAATTCGACGCCTATATACCCGGTTCCAACAACCATGACCTTTTTCGGCTGTTCTTCAAGATCGAAGAAACCATCACTTGTTATACCAAGTTCCGCACCAGGTATCTCATGAGGAATACGCGGATGACCACCTTTAACAAATTAAGTTTGTTTAAGGAATGGAATTTTTTTTTAAAAAAAAATAAATCATTAATATAGATGAATATCGGCACCTGTAGCAATTAATATTTTCTTTGCTTCAATCTCTTCAACGCTTCCATTATGTTCCACTTTCAAAACGTTTTTGCTTACGAAACTAGCTTTTCCTTCAATGTAATCAACTTTATCCTTGGCTAGATTATTAGAATAAATCCCATTAAGACGTTTTATATACGCGTCTCGCTTTTGTTTGAGGTAATTCCAATTGAAATTTGGGATTGATGGCAAATCAAATCCATATTGCTTTGCATCATGGAGAGCTTCAGCGATGGAAGCTGTAAAAAAAATAAATAAAAAAAAAAGAGGAACCAAATTATTTATGAATTGTGAAGCTAATTGACCATTTAAAGGTATATACTGTAAAACGTTTACGTACCGGTATTAAACATGACCTTCTTTGGAACACAGCCGACGTTCACACAAGTTCCACCCAAACGCCCAGTTGACTCTACCAAACCAACCTTAAAACCATAAGAGCCAGCGCGCCTGGCCGAAGCCAAACCACCACTTCCTCCACCAATAACCAAGTAATCATATTGTTTGCTTGGGGCAACAGGAGGCATAGTTGCGAAAGTTTTATAAAGTTGCAAGATACGTTTATTAGCCAGCAAGGTTTCTGTCTTTATATAAACTCTAGATACTGAAGAACGTGATAAATAAATCATTAGACATCCAAACCACACACCCCCCCGTTCCAAAAAAAAAGGTAATTTATAAAATCAGTTCAATGATCGGCACATAATTGATTAGCTATTTGGGAGAATGATACATTCTATAAAAATGCCGTTTTTGACAAAAATTTTTGACAAAGCGCGTGATTTTTTTTTTTTATAGTACAGTAAGACAATAAGGGTGGTGGAACGCAATTCATTTGAATCGAAAAAAAAAAAAATTTTTGGGACAGGACGATAGTATTTCAAATGATTGACCAAAATTTTTGGGTCGTTGGGAAGTTAATGAGTGTTACAGATTATGCGTATGTCCCGATTTTCCGAATGCGGGAGGCGGTGGCGCGTTGGAATATATCGGGAGGAAAAATTCAAGATTTGAAAAAACACCCGATAATTACTTCCGATATGGAAGTTTGTACAATATGTCATTGTTAATACGTGTTTGGCTGTGCCATAAATGATTTTGCACATGATCAAAAGGTATCAAGTAAGTGCATAAACCGGGGGTGTATGATAAGAACTGATATATAAATAAGAGATTCTTTTTTTTTAATTTTTTTTTTACAGCTCACTTCGTTTACTACTCCATTTACTGTAAATTCGTTTTAGAAATATTTTTTATTGAAAACTTATGATAAAAATGTAATGAAGAAAAATACTGTATTGTTAAGATAGTCTATTGCTATGGCAACTGCTTTATTGTTATAGAAGCTTACATGAATGTTATATTCTATTAGTGAAAGATATAGTAAAATGTATATAATAAGTTTGTTTTTGCTCAATAAATAAATCATATGTTTTATTCAATAATAAATCTTCTAAAATGAAAAAAAAAAGTTTGCAAGAAATATTTTCTTCACACATTTCCTTTAAAACACTCCACTAAATACTCCAAAATTTGTTTTGAATATTTCTTCGTTCTATTTTTTCTTTGAAAACATCGCGAAAATTCTAAGATATATGTTATACAAACAAATCGGGCCAATGAACCTCATCAAATCTTATAGTACACCCCGGTTTAGGATAAAGGTCTACACCCCCACCCTAGGTTAAGGATGCCCGATCGAGAATGGATCCGTCGTGAATCATGTGAGCAATTCGACGCAGAAACGGAAAGAAAAACCGATCGGAAACACACTTGTCTTTCAAAGAAAGAAAATCAATCATCTACCTAATAACTGCGTAATTATTAATCGGATATACATAATTCAGGATATTTTTGGTTAATTCGGATGAAGGATTGATATAAAAATAGAACGCAGGTTAAATATGAACAGGTTAAAGTGGTCTTGGTAATAATTTATAATTATGAATGCATTCATGTATTAGATAAATTAAATTCCTCTTTTAATAATTCAAACAAGATTTGCGGAAAATGAGATTCCGAATTTAAAAAATACGTGGAATCAAAAGTCAATCATTATTTGTCATTCATTGTCTTACAATGATCATAATAACATAAGGTAACGCAATAACGCAGTTGAGAACTCCATAATTGGTTGCATGGCTCCAGAATTTGTTTAAAAGGGGCATCAAGGGATCCAAGAGACCGATTTGGTATCTGTTTACACCCGGTTTGCGTGCAATAATCTCAGCAAATAATAAAATATATATAAACAGCAAACAGTTCTATAAACGATAAACAAATATTTCTCGGTGTGACATCCGAAAATCTTCAACAATTATTTAGTTAATCTCGTCTATTACATCGTGGTGTAACATCAAGTTGTATGAATTTTTTTCTCTCGTCATTCAACCCTTTTACCCGTTAACGCGATTTATTAAATATCATAAATCAGGTGAAAAATCTTACCATTTACAATGCCTATTATATTAATCGTTTTGATTGAGAGTTAGGTTTCAACGTATCACTCACAGGTTTCCTTGAAAATCTGACGAGTAATCGAAGAATTTTCCCGTAAATTACCACAATGAATAAAGAAAAAGGGTTAATGATGGAAGTCATTCAATTTGTGGTACAAAAAGCAAATTGATTAATGATATTTCCGGGTTTGGGATAGTAATGATCAAATGATGTCAAAAATAAAATCGGAGGACGGAAAATTCAATGAATTCATTAATTAGAATGTCATGTATTTTTTTCCCTTTCTAAACAAAGTGAGGTATTTTTTTCTTTGTAATTAATATTACTAAAAAGAATGGTTTGAGTAATTGATCTCACCAAGGAAGAAACCATGTGCCTGCTTTTATTATTGTTTGATTCCTTAATTCATTGATTAACTTTTTAATGCATCAAATTAAAATAATATACCTTTTTTCCTTTTTTTTTTTTTTTATCATCATCAACAACTTTTTGGTAATTGTATTACTTTTCTTTCATTGAATTGGCAATTTGTGACTTTGAAGAATTTCAGGCAACTATCGGACTTGGTAACTCCTGGTTGATTTTTTGCGTATATATTTCTTATATAAATCGTTAATTCGAGATCGGATCGTTTTCTTTTTTCTTTTCTATTCCCCTAGTTATTCTTTCTTAACGCGTTTCTTTATTACAATTCCTCGAACGATTCGGTCGAACATTTTTTTTTTTAAAAAAAAAAAAAAAGAGAGAGAGAGAGATCGATATTATGAAAAGCAATTAGCAAAATTCGCGAGTAAATAAAACCTAATCTCATCGATACAAATTATTACGCGCTCGTCATTTTAACATTACAAAATTTTCTTTTTCGCAATACAATTTTATTTTAACAATGTCACACACTTCCCAAACCACTTCATCTTTACCCACGCTACAAAATATGTTTAAGAAGAGGATTTCTATCAAAAAGGAAGGCGATGAAAATAATTATTACAACTTTAAATTCGTTCCTAGTGATACTAAAGAAGATATCCACGAAGTAATTTCTAATTGCTTCGAAATGGATTGTTTTTCACTTCGTGATCACGAAGGAAATTTCATTACCGGAAGTTATGCATCCTTGGAGAGAGATAAAACCTATGATATAGTTGATCGTAACGAAAGTAAATTGAGAAATTCTCCTACCTATCACGATGGTACTAACGAAAGTATCAATTCTAGTGGAAGCAAGAGCATCGAAAATGAAAATGCGATAAAGGTGTGATTTATAATTATTATTAAGATTTTTTTTTTTTCACACATCATATGCATGTATCAAAATTCGAATAAATATAATAGCAATTCATTAGTCCTTTTTTATTCCCAGGAAAAAAAACGCAAAACCCAACGGCAAAATGAACCAGCGGAAAATAATCCAGGTCCTTCCGTTACCAACAAAAAAAAACCCAAGCCGACGCAACAAGTTAAGGCTTGCTCAAGGTGTCGTCGTATCAAAAAGCGTTGCGATCGACAAAGGCCTTGCGGACGTTGTGTCAAATCAAACTTTGCAAATGCTTGTGAGGTCATTAAAATCGGCTATAAAGAACAAAGCTGAACCATTTTTGGGTTGTTATTTAATTATGAACCTTGGCTTTCTCTTTTTTAATGAAATTTACCTTTTAATTTTTTTTTTTTTATGTATTTAATCGAACGATAAACAATGTGTGCACTTTTTATTTTACATTATTTTTATATTAAATGATTATGATATTACGCAACTACTACTTTTTAAGGCATTCTTTATATGTACAAATATGATAAGCTTGAATTTTTTTTAAGGTTAGGAATAAAAACCAAACTCCAAAAAGGGTTTATTAAAATTCCCAGGATGAAAATGATTATAGGGGTTGTGGCGTATCATGATGTTTCCAAAGATGGGCGTTTAGTCGTGGCGGTACATCAGCCACATCGAATTTCTCTAAATCAAAAAAAAAAAGTTTTGTTTGGAGAAGTATTTCCTTTATTTTTAAAGGATACCTTTATTGTATTAATTCGTGAAGATAATTGTCAAATGAAAAAAAAAATTAGTTTTTTTATTTTTTTACTTAAAAAGATGAATTTTTATTTACATACAAATATGATTAATAATCAAGGAGGTTTCAATAAAAGAATTATAACTCTCCTTGGAGTCCTAATTTCCGAAAGGACAAGCGTATGGTCATACCAATCAAAGTCCTACATTTACGCCCTATGGCGTGTGCTTCATACACGAAGTCCTTAAAAAAAAATCATCTATTACTTAATCATCCTCGGATTGTACATAGCTATCACGCGTTCCTGTCGATTTTATTTGACCATAAATAGAATTAATTACATTACATTCGCAATGATTGTTGAATCAAATCTCCGAAAAACCTTCTTCATTCTAAATTTGCATAAACTCCTTTCAAAAAAAAAAAAATTAATAATAATCACTTTGTAATAACGAACGCTTGAACGCATTCACTAACTTTCAATCTATAAAGACAATTTTGAAATTACATTTCTTTGAAGGTAAAGACGATAAAAATGTAAGTAAATGAAAAGTCCCAAATGGATATATAATCCTTATCTTGTATCACATATTTGAGTTAAGCAACCGGTGATGTATAAAAGGCTATGAATTTTACAAATCTGTAAAAACCGCAATATTTTCCCAAATCAAACGGAATAGATTCCGATCCTTTTTTTAAAGTTCGTTTAAATTAAAATTATTTCTATATAATTCTCTTGAAATCAAATGATTCAATGTAAAAATTAATTTTCGCTTTGTAAATACTATAGTAATTAAAGCCTGAAGAAATGATTTTTTTTCTCTTGGCAAGATCTGAGAAGTTTTTCTTTTTAGGAAACCCTTTGCGTAAATATTTCGATCGTAGTAGTATGGTATAGGTTCGACACCGTGTATTAATATATATTTAATTAAGTCCGATAAAATGATTCATGCGATATCATTAAAAGTTTCTTGAAAAATTAAAATCTCCTATTAAAAATTATGTTGGATAGGTCAAATTTTGGTCTTTTCTTTTTCGCTATTCTTCCCAAAATCGACATTTGACGATGGCAGGAAAAGAACTTCGTTATTTCTATAATTATTATGATCCGAAAAAAAATCATTCGTCATTTCTAGGGTCATTGCCACGGTCTAAGTGTAAGAATTTTTAAATTAACAAAATTGCCAAAAAATTCACATGATCAAACTTAGATTTCTACCCCAATCCACACCCAAAAATCCACAACAAAAATTTATTTTTTGATTGAAAATTTCGTCCGTGTCAGTTTAACAAGGATTGATAACTTTATGTATCTTATCCATGTTGCTTCAATCCACCTCTGTATCATATAAATTTATAAATATAGCTCGTGGAAATCTCGTGGAAGATCTAAGCCACGTATAAGCCTCATTAATCGTATAAAAACGCTCTTCCATTAAAGAAAACTTTTTTTTTTTAATATCATTTCTTATTTCTTTCCTTTAAAAAAAAAAGGAAAAAAAAAAAAAAATACACCTTGTCTATTTAACAGGATCATAAATTTGTGGCGCAGCAAACAATGAAATCTTATCATATAATATTAATAACAATAATCATGATTTTAATACCGGTAATTCAAATTCACACTTTTCCAACATTATACGGTTCAAGGGAACCCGAATTTCGTTCTATTATTGTAAAATATCCAAAAGAATCATCATCTTTTAAAATCGGCTCCAAACAATTCATCGAATGGAAATCCACATTACCCCGTTCCAGTAAATATAATTTAATATTTTATCTTTAATAAATCATCAAGTGAAAATTATTTATTGATGTCTCATTTTGATAATAAGCTGAAGTTATCGTAGAAATATTAAGTTCCCCACGTTATGAGTTCAGTCCTCCTGAAACCATTTGGAAAACCACCGCCGTAAGTTATTCATAAATGTCTTCATTTGAATCTCACCACCAATCACCATTAATTGTTCTTTAAATAAATTAGAGTATTGGTAGTGGAAAGGTTTCATTTATTGTAGGACAATGGTTTTATTATAATATTTATAATGCCAGAGTTTATACTCAAAATCATCCTCGAGTAATTGGTACTTCCGGTCATTTCACCATTTATTCTCTACCAATCCAATCATAATTTTCATTGAGATTATTTTATTATTTCGCGAATATACGTGAATCTATTTAATAAAATCTACTCTTTCGGCGCCCAATTGTAAAGAAAACTAAAAAAAAAAATTGGTACAATCAACATTCATCCGATCGTATTCTGTGAACGTGATTATGAGGATTTCGTATGTGATCATAATAATACTTAGCACATTGCTTAGCTGATCTAGTTTTTATAATTTTAGAAATTTTCTTCCATTGATTTCCGTGTTCTTTGTAAGCCTTCATAAAATCTGAGATTTCCGCTTCTTCCCAATGTCCAATATTAACGTATGGATTCGTTCTGGAAGATTGAGTATAATGATCCTTGATCTCAAACATCGTTCGATATGGAAATATTTTTGTGATTTTCTCCCAATCTTCTTCATAGTCCATAATAGCATTTTTCAATTTGATGTTTTCTTCGGTCGTCCAAGGATTACTATTAATCCTTTCATATCGAGTTCTAATACTTGTGCTCGGTCTATCTAAAATCTCACTAAGTAATTTCCATCGTTTCCCATGTTTATCAAGTAAATCTAACAACATTTGGTCTTCTTCTTTTGTCCATTTCCCTCGCTTTTTCTTTGATAAGAGATACCACCTATGTGCTACTTGATTTCGATCTTTATCATTAAATAATTTTGATATTTCCATCCATTTTCCGCTACCATACTCTTTCACTCCTTCTTCAAGTATTTTATCATCTTCAAGTGTCCATTTATTATAATAAGAAGGTCTTAATTGACTTAATATAGAATTCACCCACTTTATATTCAATGAATTTGGATTCCTTTCAGAATTAAAATAATTTTTTGATATAAATGTCCACTTTTTACCGTGCTTTTCTATCGCATCTTGAAGTGTAACAAATTCCTCTTTTGTCCAAGCCTTTCTTTTGGTTTGAATGGATTCTTCGGTTTCTTCAATTTGTGATTCATTCTCGTTTGATTTCGTAATTTCATTTGTAACCAAGGTTGATTGAAATTTATATATATTTAAAATCAAATTATTGGAGGTCCTACTGATTAAATGAATCTTATTGATTGATGTTTTAATGTCATTAAATTTGCTTGTAAATCTAAACATGATGAATTGTCAATGAAAAAATACAAGTGCTTTTTTTTTGTTTTCTTTCTCTTCTCTTTATACTTTTTTTTGTGATGCAATTACGTAATTCTTTTGCGTTTTGTGTATCATGAGATGCAGATGATCTTCTAAATTAGAAAATGATGAGAAGTATTGTGCAACTTTTCAAGCAACAACAGACATGTTTTAACATCATTATTATAAAAGAAAAACGTTTTTGGATTTTTACACTTCCCCCTTCCATAAACAAAAAAAAATTGGTTTTTACTATTTCCCTTACTTTATTACTTAAACTTTTATCACGCGTTAGAAATGGAATACATTTTCTCAAACATTCTGCGCCGAATTATTGATTTGTCGAGTTTCCCTCTCATACCTTTTTACTACCATATACTTAAAATCAAAGATTCAATCCAAAAATACTTGAATTAATATCGTTGAGCAAAGCTAATCAATGTTAATATAAATTATACCTAAAGCTATCTTCATCTTTCTTTCTACGAGAATTTTTAACGATTGCACTGTAAATTAAATTCTTACTTAGGTTTCGTATTTTCCGCTTGCTATCTTCTTACATTTCATTGCTCACTTCACGTTAACAATCAGTTAACCACATTAATAGAATTTACTAATTTAATCTAACAAATCTTTTCACGACAACCCTAAACCAATTGTAAATAAATCTGGAAAAAAAAAAGCCAAATGAAATGATAATTGATCAGTCATTAAAGAAAAAATTTGATATAATAATATTTTAAAGTGAGAGGCTAACGATCTTTTTGCATGGTAGAGATTATTGATTATTAATTTAAATAAAAAATAATGAGACTAAGTTTATGGAATGGAAAATTCTGATCATTTATTAAGCACGGCTGATAATATTTCATTCGGTTGAAAAGGACAATGTTTAAATAACAATGTAATGAAATCTTGATGAATAGTCACAGGATTATTAGAGTTAATGATAGAATTTATATCATTCAATGTGTAATAAATAATAAATTTGGTAAAGAAATCTGAATCTATTAATAAAAAAATAAAGTAATAGCAACAGTAATAGTCAAATAACAAAAAATGATATATTTTTTTAATTTGCTAATAATTTTATATGAATATTAAATATCTAAATAAGGAATTTTCTGTCTATAATTCATTTATATAGATATAAAAATGATAAAAAATTTTCTATTAAAAAATATTTATTAATATTATATTTACTTTTCATTTATTTTAAAAAGTAAAAAAATTTACTTAGATTACATTTATATAAAAAAAGGTATTAATAGCAAATATTAATACATTTATATAAAAAAAGGTATTAATAGCAAATATTAATACATTATTTAATTAAATATACTATATACAAAAATTCTTCAATAAATAATTAAAATAAGATTTTATTTTATTTTATATAATTATATAAATTATAAAACTGGTTTATAATTTATTAATCTTTAAATTATTTAGTAAACAAATTTGCTTACTTATAAACTTAAAAAAAAAGTATTAATTTCTTAATTGATTTTAGTAATATTATTATTATAAATTAAAAAATATATTTTAATATATTTTATTAACTTATTTAAATTTATTAAAGTAATTTTCAATAAAAATTTTTTTAAAATGTTTTTCTTTTTTACTATAAAAAATCATAAGTCGCATATGACTTTATAATATAATAATAATATCATAATCTAATTACATGATCTGATAGTAACTTCATAATCTACTATCCATATTCTGATAGTGATTTCATAACCTACTTATAGGTAGCTCCTTTGCATTTATAGCATTATTTCAACTGTTTCCTATATAATATGATGGTAACTTCATAGTCTAATAATAACTGGTACTACTTTAATTTAATGGTGATATCATGATCTAATAGTAATTGCTTTCTTCTTATTTCTAATCCGTTTACATAAAAAATCTATATTGTTAGTTCTGGCTTTCCAGTCGTCTTTGAATACCTAGTTCTATAATGAGGATGTTGGCCCTCTATGCTAGTTTGTATACTAGATCTATATTAAAAATTTGCGTATTTTGGTTGCCTTTCTAGATGCCAAAGTAGTGTAAAAAAAAAAGGTGACAAGCGGCGTAGTAAATTCGTGATTAATTTCAGCTGACATTATGCCATAATTCTGGCTGATCTTGGAACTCATAATTTGGATTTAACTTGGTAATATGATGCACTATGATAGTGCCATGGTAGTATTATAGAACTATTGTGAAACTGTTATAGAACTGGTAGGATGCCAAAGAAATTCTATTAGTTTGTCAGTTTTATGTTAGCTTAGATGCTGAAATATTATATCCAAAATTTGACTGAAATTATGAAATAGTGTTGGCAGAAATTTTTGTTAATTTTACTGCACCTTAAATTTTAAGTATTTATCCCATTACTATTCCCAAGATAATACTTGAAATAATGCCTGGGATGCTGAGTTATATGGTCAGAAATTATAGAATAGTGCTGGCTGAAATTTTTATTAACTTACTGTACCTTCAGTTCTGGGTACTTTCCCGTCACTTTCTCATAACTTTCTCATTACTTTTAAGGAATATTAGCAGGATGTTATAAGCTTTTCTGAAGTCTAATTATGATTGAGGTAGTATGTATGCCAATTTTTAAGCATCCCTATGAAAATTCTCTGTCCCTATAAGAAAAATTCACATGGACACTCATAGAGACGATCTTGATATCATTTTTGGGCTTCTTAATTTGATTTATTGAGTTCTTTATTACTTATCCCTATATTCCTATGAGTCCCTATTAAAAATAAAAGTTTTAGGAAAAAAATTTGATTATTCTATAGTACTCTTATAAGTAACTATAATCATGAATATAGTTAATATAATTGGTATATAGTCGATATATAGTATAAAAAAATAAAAAGATAAAGAGTTCAGAAATTCATAGAAACGCATAGGATCATAGGAACAAGTAGTAAAAATGCCTTCCCAGGGTTCTAAAATTGCCAGTTTGCTATACTAACAGCATTCTTGTTAAGTTTTTTTGCTATTCTTATAAATTTTTTATGAGGCTAAATTTTTGATAAGTCATGGCTAACTTATAGTATTAGGCATTTTCATTCTATCGAGAGCCTCTTCTAATGCTTCTGAAGTCTGCCAGTTCTGAAATATCTTATCCAATTTCTTTCAGTGATAATTTACTTTCAAATGATACTTATTTACATGCAAATTACAAAATCCATATTTAGAAGCCGTTGGTCTTACACATCTATCTTATTTACATAGAGCTCACTGGTATTTTTTTCAGTAAATATACACCCTTCTGATCGCGTACTTCCATTCCCACAAACTATTCCTTTATAAGAGAGATACTGGCAAATGTATTTACCGCTCATTGATATTATTCTTCCTTCAGTCGGTTAATCTTTTTGATGTCTATAATAATATTTATTTTTATTTTAAACTTTTTTGTTAGGGTATTATACTGAAATAGTATACTAGATAATATATCTGAAAATTTTTACTATAAGCCAATCTGAGCTTTCAGAGTTTTTTGACGTATCCGTACTTTTTCTCCCAAAGGTTAAAAAAGATAAAATGAAAGGATAAATGATTTGTTACTCTAGTAGGGATTACTTAAATTATATTTTAAGCTGTAATGATATAGTTGCGAAAAATGATGAGGGATTAACCACAATTTTTGAAGATGCTCTATCTAAGCAACAAGATATTCCATTTATAGGAACGTCTAAAGTAGGAGCAAATCACGTGATACAAACGTGATTAGTCAGAAAATAACGAATGATTATTAGTTTAATTAATTGAGGAATAACATCATCGTGCATTATTATTATGATATTTTTTTATTTTTTTCTTTGTGTGAAAAAATTTCTCATTATTTTTCATAGGTTTTTTTTTATTAAAACA